GTGTGTGTGTGTGTGTGTGTGTGTGTGTGTCTCAGGACCTGAAATCAGATAAACATTTCCAAAATAATGCCTGGGTGGGCTTTTTGTGAGGGCTCGTCACATTTTCAGCAGAAGCACAATCACAGCCCTGTCTGCGATTTACCTAAAAATCTCCACTTTTTTTTATACTGTCTCTTCAAGAAGTTCAACAAAGGCCAAGCTTCACCTTTTTAAGTTTACTGATTGTGTGGACATTTATCTATGTACATATGAAAGTGAAAATGTCAACAAAGTCCAAGACAAACAGCTTTTTAATTTCGTCTTCACTGAGCTGTAACACACACCAGCTAATGTCATTAACACCACTGAGGCGCTCGAGGTTCCATCATATCTGTATTTCATCCTCACTGCAATGAAAAGACACTGCTGACTCTTCATATACTGTTTTACGATAGCCCCGAAGTGCAAATCACTGGTGTGTGACTGTGAATAAATAAATCAGTGAAAAAGTTCAGACAGCTTTTCCATCAGCCGTCACTTCCTGTGTGTAGGAGCAGCCCTAATTCCCCAGTTTCACATTACAGGCATCAGTCTAATAATTGAATGTAATGACTTGTATTTCCTTTTGTTCACATCTCACTCTGTCTCATTCTAGTCTTTGTGTTTCTTCTGCCATTCAGAGACAGTGGGACTCTTCGGAGCAGACCTCCTACACTGAGGCTGTGCAGGACCCTGATGACAGATGTACTGTGAGGAGGCTCTTCTCTGGCACTCTGCAGCTGCCCAGGCTTTCCTGCAGACAACCCACACCGGACAGACCTGAGGATGGCCCCCAGTCCAGCCCCTTGGCCTGCAATATCAAATCCTCCAGGAGCCTGGGGACTCTGACCAACTACTTCTCCATAGACTTGTGAGTCAATGATGCTGTTGGTTGTCAGTGTCCTGCTGCAGATACACTGGATGTGTTTTATAAAGTCCATCAGGTTACTTCAGAGTTACTAAATTCAAATTATTTAATCTCCTCACGCTCACAAAGTTTGAATTTTAGGTTAAAAAACATTGTTAACACTTTTAAACCAAAGGTTATACCCAACATTTTTCCTTTAAAAACGTTTTTGTGAAAATGTGTGGTTTTTTTCTAGTTGCCGGGCACATTTTCATAATCAATCTATACCCATCTCGTGTGAGCTCACAGTGTGTTGTGGTCTCGTAAGCTGTAGCACAGATTCAGGATAACCTTGCAGCACCTTCTTCCAATTCGGTTTCCTGTAAAAAAAAAAAAACAGCTCATTGACGATTTCCGTTGCTTAACTGCCTCATTTATATAGAAAAAAGTGAATTTCCTCTTGAGCATAACATTTGACAGAGTGCTCTCCCGTCTGCCACACTGCAAACTTTTTCCACTATAGAAGATCAGACAAACAGGGCTCTTATGATTGTTTCCACAACATTCATGCTGCTGCTGTTTCAAACACACCTGTAGCATGTGGTGTTTTGCCTGTCTGCACTGTGTGTGTTTGTGTGTGTGTCTACTGTAATTCTTCCACACGTCGAGGGAATGCAAACAGACCTGGTTGTATTCGTAGTTAGCTGTAGTGCATGTCAGAGGTGATCAGATATAGATGTACTTTGTTTGGACACAGTTGCATCAGACTGTTACAGCCAACAAACACTGTTTGAATGAAGGAAACATCACATATACTTCGATATCATGCAGACTGAAGAGATGCTGGTCATAGCCCTATTCACTAATAATAGTCTGTATGATCAGATTTCCAAAGATCTAACCTACAGTGCTGAAAAGTATACAGGCCACTTACATTCAGTTTACCAAGACACATACTTTTATTAAGACACAGTAAACTGTATATCTAAAATGAAAGAAAAAACATTGTGATGATGAGTCTATGTTTATTCCATAAATGTTTATTCACCAGCAGGTATAAAGCAGCACTCTAACAGCCATGACTCCTGTAGTGTTGATAGACCTAAAAGCCTTTCATTGTGCTCCTCGTCTGGGAAGAGGGCCATGTGCTTGTCTGTTTACAAGTTGATAGTGCAGTTTTGATGCGGTGCCAAGGAAATTGTTTATGGAGCAACATAAATTTAAAGTGAAATGAGTTCAAACCTGACAATGCCACACATGTTGGAGAAATCTAATAAAAATATAACTGATTGACTTTATTAACATATCCCACACATTTTGTCATCATATATTTGTCAGGTAATATTCAACTGGCACGAAATATCTATAGAATAGTCAAATGATGACATGTAGAACTTGTTTCTGAAAGTTGACAACAGACCATAGACTGCTTACAAAGATGGACGACACGTCTCTACTTCTTCCAACTGCTCAGACATGAAGCCAAAATACCCTGGGTAGGAATGCCACCATCTTGCTCATTAGGAGCAAGAGCCTGAGCAGTCTATCTGGGAGATGAAGCCGGTAGCGAGGTCCGATCGTTACAAGTTGTTCAAAAGCTTGAACAGTCCTCCTCCTGTTCTGAATGACTCTGTTCTTTGTCACGTTAACTCTTCCCATGCAAATGTCCGACCTGCAGCAGTGCCGTGTGGAAGAGAACATTAGGTGTCGTCCAAATGATAAAAAAAACTGTACTTTAAAGAGTGACTTGTAGCATGATGAAGAACAATATAAAGATTAATATGAAAAGATGGATGATTTTCTATTCTCAAGTTATATATATCTTTTTATCATGCTGCCCTAAGGGGGGGCCCACTATCTATCCTCCCAAGGCTAGAGAGGACTCATTCCCAAGCATG